TGACTGTAGGAATTCAGTTTCACAAAACGCAAATATTTAAAGTACAAAATTAAATCTTATAATAGCTTATCAAACTAACTGAGCTGCCTTCTCTCGAAATTCCTTTTGATTAGTAACTAGTGAGACATTACCAAATAAAATGCTGGCTTCAAAGGTCTTCGGAAGAACAAAATTATAATGCACTTTGTTCCCGTTTTGCTGAGCATGGAATGGGTTGCAGAATTAAAAAATAGCATCCTGTAGTTGTGTCCTACTTTGAGAAAAATGTGTGTGCAATCCCATACACTGTACAGTGTTTGCTGAAGGGTCATCCTATTTTCTGCTAAAACTTTCTTGAGAGGCTGGCTTTTTCTTTTTAAGTCGGCATTGTACTTTCAGAGCAGTTTCTAAAATAGTTGGCTACAAAGATCATTTCAGAGAAGTCCTGCTTTTATCATATAGAAAATGTTGTAACATCGAGTGCATCTGTGTAGCATAGCCCCTGTGGCTCATGTCCAAGCTCAGTCTGAACAAGCCGGGATGCTAGAAACAGTATTCCTGCAATAATGTGGTTTGCTGCTTAGACTAATTAGCCTTGATGAGAACTAGTTTGCCACTGCTTCAAAAGTATTTTAAGTCCTAAATCTTTTTAAAGTGAAAGCAACCTCTCATGCCCCAATTTTTTACAGGAAATTATCTTCCCTGTCATAGTGGGTTGAAAAGCTTCATTGTAAAATGTGCAAACTTCAAGCAAAAGAAGTTTCCTGAAAACAAGTCAAGTGTATTAGGCATGGGATTTTTTTTTTTTTTCTGTAAACTACTTTTTTTGTGATCCATTGCAGTTAAGTTTGGTGGAATTTAGAAAATTTGCAATACAAAGTAGCATTTATAGAGGAAAAATGCTAAGAAGTATTCATTAACTTTATAGTATGATATTTAACTATAAATACAGTATAAATGCTGTTGTTAGGTTATACTAAGGAGAAAAATATTTGTAGACTTCTACTAGCTCTTGTTTAGTAAGTTTTGACTAGTATCCATCTCCTTTTCATCTGCTGGGAGTATATATTTCTGGTATTTCTTTTGCTCAGTCAAGCATGCAAAGGGAGTTTTCTCTTTACTCACACTACAGAGCATTTCTATCAAAATTATGTTTGGTAGAAACTCTAAAAGTATCTTACAAAAGCCTAAATCTCTTCTCTAAACTGTATTTTGAAACAAGCAAATCATGCTCCCCTTTCAGGAAAACCACAGTTTACTAATACAAAATATTCTTGGGCTGGAATTATTGAGGCCTTCTAAGGAAGTGTGATGGTAGGTGCAGAGAGATGGTGTGGGTGGCTGTGGTGAGCAATCTTTCTATATTTGTACTGATGTGATGTTGCAGTGTTGTTAGGGGCACTGCATTACTGTTAGAATTTTTATTTTTTTTAATAGGGCAAACTTCATAAGATCTTGAATTTGTCTAACTAGTTAGATCTCATAAGGGCAGATATTAGTATTTAGACTGAACTGTGATTAATGATATTTTACTTTATTTCTGCAGATTTTTAATTTGGGAGAAGACCACCTTAGGACTGGGTTTTGGTTGGGTTTTTTGTTTGGGTGATTTGGGGTTTTTTTTTTTTTGCTTTTTGCTTTTTCTTTTTTTTTTTTTTTTTTAACCAGCTCATTAGGTTGATACCAAGCAAGAATTTATTGGGTTATTCAGGAAATTAAGGGAGCAATACCACCTCCCTCCCCCAAAATTAACCACCTGCAGAGCAGCAAGGATCTTCTGTCATATGACACTGTTGCAGCTATTCAGCTCTCCCATCTTGTTCACAGATGTCTGGTCTTGGTCAATCACATTAAATGTGAGTGACTAGCACACTAATGACACATAGCAGTCTGTAATTGAGCTGTTTTCTAATCCTTGAATGAAAGATGTTTTATACTTTTCATATCTGAGGGTGGAATCCTGTCTTCACTAAACTTGGTGGCACAAGTCCCATTAAGAGGAACCAGCATTTTGCTCCTCCTGTCTGTACTCTCATTCTCATCTGCTGCTGAAATCCACTGATTAGTCCCACTGAAGGAAAGTCTTTATGTGTCTGCTGTGTCATAAGTATTCTTACTCCTAATAAGTTCCATCTGTAAGGGGTAGCCTTTCATGTTAAGTGTGTGTTTTATGAGGAATATTACTGTTTCGAAAATGAAGAGTCTGCTTAATCTAACGCACAGCATAAGCACATACTAGCTAAACAATGTGAAGACCACTGTTTCCTATGTCTACAACAAAATTTCAGGCACTTGACCAAAATGTTGATGACGTTCAGTTTGGTAACATGTTCAGAAAGTTTTTAATTAGCCACATGGTAGTAATTTATCTGTGGATAATATTTTACCTTGCTGTGAAATAGTTCTGTGTATTGGGCACATATCTGATTAAAGGTTAATAATTCAAAGTACCTCCATCAGTTTAGTATGTTGGAAAACCAGGACTTAGTGGTTTTTGTTCTGGAATCAATACAAAATTTATTCAAAACATGTTGATAATAACAAACACAATGATGATTAATAGTTGTTGCTGTAAATTGCTGTAATTTCTTTGTGCAAAAAACCTTTGACCTGTATTAATAGAAACTAACATTTGCAAACCAACTTTAAATGCTTGAAGAAGGCTTCCACTATAATGCAAAGCAAAATACTCTTTTGCAACCACTAGCATGTTGGCTTTTTAGTCCCATATGTTTGAGCTTTAGCTGTGATAAAGGCTGATTTTTAAGGAGAGCTTTACCTATGGGGTTGGTTTTAAATGATCCACTTGCTGGTGCATGCCACTTAGTAAGAGGCAATGCTCAGATTCTCAGAGTTCCCAACAGCTTTTTTCCACTTGATTGTCTGTGGTCTGAGTATGTGGCAGCATGGACGTATGAATAATTTGTTATGCTGGGAACTTGGAGTAGAGGCTGGCTTACTAGGGGAAAAAAATTCTACAGATACTTTATTATACTTATGGTTTGGTTTAAAATTATATTTTCAAGAACAGATTATTATCAAATCTCTGCAAAGTGGTTAGTTCAGCATTTTTACAAGTATTTGAAATCTGCACTCTTGTTGGTCAGCTGCAGCCCAAAATATTTTTTTTTTCCCAAGTTGGAATTAACAAATATGGTACAAATAGGATTTAAAAGTTTTGTCTTTTTTGTTTTGCTTTCTAAAATTGATCATTTTCTATGTTACAACGAAGTCTGTCTCATTTTGGTTAATAGGGGAAGTATAAACCAATTATCTGCTTATACTTTCTTGATTTCAAATGCCACTCTTTTAAACATGCTTTAGATCTTGCACGATGAAAGGCTTTGATTTGCAGAAGGAAGGTGAGATACATAAAAATTGTTTCACGTCTGATGATTAAGTTGTCTTTGGGTGGGAATAAATCACTTATTTGGAGCAGGTTGTAAAGGTTCAGATTCAGGTCTTTTTTTTCTATTTTTAATAGATGATTGTGTATTTTACTGAATGGCAGCTTATTTCATATAAGTTTTTACCTCTTAATAGAAGAGTCTCATTGCTGCAGTTAAGCCATATCTTTTAGTTTTCTGATCTAAAATGGACACTAAAATCTGAAGTTTGGGTGTGATAGGCAGGAAAAATAATATACATGAATAAGACGATGTACAATTTACATAATCCAGTCTAGCAGAGAGAATCGCAAACTATCTAGATGTCCTCTGGCAGAAAGTAAGATTCTGTTGGTGGAGAATGTCTCAGGGCCAAGGTGATGTGCGGGGCAGGAGGGCACTTGAGAAAAACGTTGCGTGCAGTGTGCTGCACTTCCTAATCCACTGCTTGTGCCTAACTAATGTGTGAGGGGAATCTCTGAATGAAAACCTTTAGAGTTTGCAAAGCAGTAATTGCCTAGTCATGGAGCTGCCAGACATCATAATAGAAGAGAAGGTATATCCGAGTAGGAAACACAATCTTGTAGCTGGTGACTTCATCAGAACCCACCTGGTGCTATCTTTGCCTTTTCATTATTGTTTCAAAAGTTCTGTAGTAATTCTCCTGTAGTTAGCCTTTTCTGGCACCCAAATGCTTTATGGTATTGAAGCTGTGGCTTTTTTATTGTGAAAATGGACAGAATTTAAGGTGTTCTAGTAACCATGAACAAGAGAAATGTTTATAATTGGGTTTTTTTGGTTTTGTGGGGTTTTTAGAGGTTTAAACACTTTAACCTATAAAAAGCTGTAGGGCAATATCAGCTTTAAAAAGCAGGGAAGGGGGGGGAAAAAGTGCAACGAACTCCTCATAACATTCTGCTTATTACATTCATGTCACTACCAGGATTCAAAGGCTGGTCCAGGAAAAACATATGAGTGGTAGTTTTTGTTTGTTTTGATCTTTCCATCCTTTTACTGTGAATTAGTCTGCCTTTACTACATTGTCAGGTAAATTAAAAGCATTCACATTATTCCTTTAGTTTCTTATGAGAGTTTTTCATTAGCTCCCCAATCTTTTGTGCTAAGCCGTCCTTCTAGTTGGTGATTCTGTCTTCATTATGTATTTGTTCTGTTTATACAAGCCAAATGAAAGAAGAAAAAAGTAACTCAAATGTGTTTCCAAGAATATGCACTATTTTTAAAATCTACTTTTAGTCTTTCAGGACTTTTTTCCTTTATTTCCTTGTTCAGGTTGGATTTTTTTATGTAATATCAGGATCGGAAGCCTGAAGATTCATCTTTAGTAATGAAAAATTATTAACTCTATCATAGCTTTCTAAAAATATGTAAATTCCCACTCCTAGATTTTTGTATGTGATTTCCACTGATCATTTTTTCAAGCCTTTATATAGATGTGAAAGGTGCTTTAAGAAGGTAGGAGGACAAAACTTTTCAAACTACTTTATTGATTTTAAAACAGAATACTATTTTCTGGTCATAGATACAAAAGCTTATTTTTCCTCATGTACTTAAAATATAGCTGTGCATATAAAGGCTTTCTTGGCTAGAAACTGAGTATTTTTGTTTTCTAAACAGGTGTCTCAATGCATGTACCTACTGCAAAACTAAGCATGCCAGAGGGGATCTAGCAAGTTATCCGATTGAAGAACTAGTGGACAGAGCTAAACAGTCTTTTCAAGGTAAGCAGTTTTATCCCTACAATAAAAATCAGCCTCTGAAGTGTACCAGCTCTTATTTTCACACGTAATGATCGTGATACAATGTGGCTCTGTTACGGTATTGATGTTCTTAATAGCCATAACTGTGTCTGGTGGTGCCTTTGCAGTAGAAAGCCATGCTTTCATTATGTTGTGCACCACTATTTACAAAATGTAGCCCTACCATAAGGAGTATTTAATTTTGATTTTAGGCTTGCTGAAATGAAGTTCCATGCAAGCATTTTTTCATGATGATGGGGTAACTGTAATATATGGCCATTTTACTCTATCTCTGGTTTCTTAAAGGGGAAGACAGTAACTTTTTTTTCACTCCATGATAAAAGCCAATTTCATGACCCTCCCTAGGATTCTTAAAACCCTGTTTTAAGGATACATTGCTTTTTCTGATAATGGATTTCCTGGAGGAGTTCTGGGATCTTTCCGAGAGCCATGCAAAGCTTATCAGCTTTTAAGTTCAATAGGATATTTGTAATGTCACATGGATCCAATCAAACATCAAAAGTTTTTCCTGCAGTACAGTACTCTGTGCCAGTATCTATCTAAAACTCTTGTATGTCTGGCAGTTATGATAGCTTTATTGTACCTTAATATTTGTTCTTTAGATCTAAATTTTGCCTATGTTTCAAAAATACAGATTTCCAAATAATGCCAGTATTCATTTCTGATGCAATCTCTGTGAAGGCACAGGTGGTGTTTTTTGTGTTTGTGCCATGTTAAAGGAATAAATGCATATTAAAAAAAAGACAGGTAATTCAGGTGTAGCATCTCCTACCATCTTTGTATCAAATACTTTGAATCAAAAGTAGAGCAATAAATACGACATGTGATGTCACATCTTCTGTGCATGTACAAACAGTACATGCATTGGGTTTCACTTATGGTTCTTGAGTGTTGTATCTGTTCTAGTAAAAAACAGGTCTCCGATGATTTAATGTGTTTTTAAATCCATCCTTATTTAGGGATCCATAATGAACCGTATTTAGGTCAGTGATGAACTTCTGGCTATTTCTATCAGTACTACGCAAGGAAGAGTCCTTTTCCTAATCAAAGCCCACGTTCACAAATTCTAAGTTCTACATTATCTACATAGAAAGTTCTCACTTAAGATTGTAAATACCTTTTTCTTTTGCTTTTGTTAAAAGCCAAGCTCCTCTCTTTTCTTCCATGAGGCTTATCTGTAATTGGCACAAAATTTCTCCTATTGCTTAGGTTTGTACAGTTAATGCTGCTGTTGCTGTGAATTGGATTATCTGTTATGATAGACAGGAATCCTGTCATGTCTCAGATTTCTTGTTTTAGTAGGACAAGCTTCTAAAACCTGTATGCCTATTATGAAATGGTCAGTAACTGAAATACAAGATGTGTAAATACACTTATTTTAGTAGAGAAGCAGTTCAGGAAACGTTTCAGAAAGCTAGAAGTTTTCAGTCGTACAAAACAGGTGATTTTGAAATTGGTAAGTAGTCACTGGGCAAGAGAAAATCTGCCATTTGATGGTTATGGTTGTTTTTATGCAGTAATTACCAGACACAAGTAAATGCCTGGTGATAGCAACACATGTAGGTAGAAAAGGAACACTACATTCTTTTCCCTTCATCCAGGTGTAACTCTGAAGTATTTTATATTACGTGTACCATACGAATAGTATTATGCTGATAGCACTATATAGCTGTTGAAATGTTCTAAAGAAACTTGGAACAATTCAGCAAGGGAATATGACAGAAGACAAGATACGGGTAATACAGTCAGGATTGTGGTCTGTCTTAGGTTAACTATATAAATTTTATTTAGATTTATTGTATGTATAGAAAGAAAAATTCAGACTTGTCTGTCCTGTTATAGGTGTGTATACATGCCATAAAGTCCACATTAAATTAACAGAAGGATGTATTTGCTTGATATAACAAGAAGACTCAAGTTTTGTCTTTGCAGACAATAAATGTGAAATTTTGGAAAGTATTTTAAACTTCAAGTATTGTACATTTGGATTGAAAATTCAGTAATTCAATTCATCTGTCGTACTGTGGCCTTTATTATAAATATTGACTCTTTCAAAATAACTTGATTTCTAATGGAAAAATTTGCCCTTAAGCTATTGTTATGAAATTTCTTGAAGAAATGCTATGACATGTCTCACAGCAGGCATCTCCAGGGAGTTCTATTCTTATTTGGCCTTACACTAGTACCTTTGTTACAGAACATAAGGAAAGAAGCAAATACTGAGTTGTAAAGTGACAGGCTTTGCCTCCAGCTTTCACATACTTAGAAAGAGGCATGAAATAGTCAGATACTTAGTTTGCAGTGTATGGAGAATTTATTCCTGCCAGCTTGCTGCATCTGGGCTGCAGAAAGTTCATCAATCCAGTGAAAGACTTTAACAATCTGAAGTCATCATTAAAGTTCTTGTTGAGTTACTGAGCTACAATCTCTTCAGCAATCACTTCTGTTTTCTCAGAAGATATGTTGCTGAAGCTCTAGTGAAAAATAGAGAGGTACAGATGTGTGATGAAAAGTTTTTCCACTGTGGAATTACTCTTGGGAGCACTGAGGTGTCTTAGAAGAACAACAGCAAACCAGTATGTGATGATTTTCTATATCTGCATGATGAAGTCATGTAAGAAAAGAGAAAATGATGTTGTTTGCAGTGTTCTGTACATATATATTCTTACAGTACACAACTTCATAGGCCCCAAAGGTGTGATGTTTCAATTGTGGAACACACTGAAAATTAATTAGAAGAGCTGTATTTAAAGACGTTTTGTTACAGGTCCTTAAAGCTCAGCACAAAAAAGCTCGCTAAAATGCTTTATTCAGGTGATCATACTTTGATAAGATTGCAGCTGACATCTAGAAACAGTTCCTTCTAGTAGCAGTATGTTGCCAGAACAGGCTTTAGTGTTGCAATCAGATACTCCCAATTTTCCTTCAGTCACTTCTGTACTGCAGCCTCTGGGTAGGATGTCTCTATGTAGGAAGTATTTCCAAGCTGTAGTATATGCTGCGTTACTCGGCTGCAAGCCATTTCAGGTAGTCAGTGGACCCGTCTTGGACTGCTAATAATATGGTACATAATAATATGGTATCTGTGTGACAGCTGCTGTAAGGCGGTGCCTGACAGTCATCATGCTGATGTTTGTCTGCAAGATGACTTCTAAAGATTTTTGTAACTCTTAGGCTTTTTAGTCAAAATTTAGCTCTGTGATTTTATTTAACTGCTGTTTTTTGAGAGTTTTGCATACTTTGTCTAGGTAAGTAGGTATTTATTTCAGTGTATTATAGGATCCAAACCTTTATCTTGTTGGTCAGTTTTGTAAAAATGAAATTTAATGCTCTGCTGACAGTGGTAGCTAGATGACAGCAGATGATAAAGCCGTAATAATTTACATGGGTGTTCAGATTATTTGTATAAGCATAAACTTGATTTAAATCAACTGATTAAAAAAAGATGGCTGAAATAATCATGACTGAACAGATATCAGCCTATATCTTTTCCAACATCTGAAATAATTTTTCTTTTTTTCTTTTTGGATTTTATTTTAATATCTTAAATGCAATATAATGTGCACAAAACATAAGTGTGTTGCAGGTTTCTAGTACATGCTGCATACTTTCATAATGCATTGGACTAAGTGTTAAGGTGCACTGAAATTGAGTTTGTTTGCATACTTTGTATGGGTTTATGTCTCCTGTCTGACCTCCATAGTAGTTTTGAAGTTACGACTGACATCAACCTTAACTGATAGAATTTCTTCAACAAAATAATCTGTCTTAAGTTGAGAGTAGACTGCTGAGGTTTTCACTTTTTTATGTTTTTTCTGTAAATTTCAAATTTTAGTAAGTAGTATCATTTTTTTACATGGACAGCCTTGTCAAATCACATTGTATAGCAGACGTCTATAAGACAGCTAGTAAAAGAAAGTATTTCAAAATATAGTAAAGTGGTCTTTGAGTAGAGAACAAATGTCTACTGTAAGGTTGTTTATGCAAAGAGATTTTCTACAGCTGATAGTACAGCACTTTCTTTGTGTCATCAATTTAGTAGTATGGTTTTTTCAAAACTTGCTATATCATATTCAATGCTGTATTTTAGGGAATTGCATTCGCAGTTATGAGAGAGCTCTTTCTTTCCTTCCCAAAGCTACTTTATGTCTAACAATGTGGTTTTGCTTAGTATATGAAGTGGAAGGCTGGGGTAGCAGCCATTGGTGAACAGTGTTCCAAGGAGACACAAAAGTTAAACAAGCCTCAGCTTTGAATGTGATGTGGAGTGGTGTCCTGGGATAGCTTTGGCTAAATTGCAAGACTTTAAATTGATTTTATATATATTTTTTTCAGTGGGATTTTAGTGACCATAAAAAGGTATATAACTGATAATGCTACATGGTGATTTGTAAACCCTACACATTGTGAGAGACTTTCTGGGCAAAGATAGTACTTTATCTTGCAAGCGATTTTTACTGGTTCAGCAAACTAAGTTAAAAATATAAGCAGTTTTATGGAATTAGCTGTTATTTCTTTCCAGTATAGAATGATAATTTTCTGCATGTACCAGTACAAAATTACACTTTAGCATTGCATGCCTGTTGCAGATGGCATGGAATATACTGCTATTAAAATGTACACTGTATAATTACTACTATATTAGCTTATTTTATGGTAGCAACCAGGGAGCTCAAATGAAAGTCAAGTCCTGTTGGGAAACATTGTTCTCGTATCCTCAAGCTATGTGGAACAATTGCTTCTGGTTGAATAATTGCAGTGGCAAAATATCATTTATTTTTATTCCATTATTTGCATGATGGTTCACTGGCATGCATGGTGTTGAATTCTGAATAACACTTCTGTTTATGAAATCTTGGACAAAAAGTAGCACTACAAAGCAGAGGAGCTATCTAAACGGAGATTCTGAGTCTTGACTTTCATTAGTCGTCTTCAGCAATTATCCCTAATCTGGTAGATTT